AAAAAAAAAAAAAAAAAGCAAAAAACAAACAAACAAACAAACAAAATGGCTGGAAACTACTACTATTAAAAAACAACAAAAAACCCTAACAACTAATTTTTTAAATGTGCAAAAGACATAAACAGGCGTTTCTCCAAAGATAAACAAACGGCCAAAAAACACATGAAAAGGTGCTCATCATTAGTCATTAGGAAAATGCAAATCCAAACCACAGTAAGATACCACTTCACACACATTAGGTTAACTATTTTATAAACACCCATAGAAAATTACAAGGGTTGGTGAGGATGTGGAGAAACTGGAACCCTTGTGTATCGCTAGTGGGTATGTAAAACCACGTAGCTGCTGTGGAAAATAGCGTGACAGAAAAAAAAATTTTTTGAGACAGGGTCTTATTCTGTCATCCAGGCTAGAGTGCAGTGGTGTGATCACGGCTCACTACAGCTTCAGCCTCCCCAGGCTCAGGTGATCCTCCCACCTCAGCCTCCTGAGTAGCTAGGAATACAGGTGACCACACCACCATGCCTAGCTAATTTTTGTATTTTTTTGGAGAGATGCAGTTTCGCTATGTTGCCCAGGTTGATTTCAAACTCCTGGGCTCAAGCAATCCACCGCCTTAGCCTCCCAAAGTGCTGGAATTATAGGCATGAGCCACCATGCTTGGCCTCCTTAAAAAATTAAACATAGAATTACCAGTAATCCAGTAATTCCACTTCTGGGTATATACCCCAAAGAGCTGAAAGCAGGGACTCGAACAGATATTTGTACAATCATCTTCACAGCAGCATTATTTACTACAGTCCAAAGAGGGAAGCAACCCAGCATCCACCAAGAGGCAAATGGAACAGAAGGTGGTATATCCATACAATGAAATATTATTCAATTTAAAAAGGAATGAAATTCTGACACATGCTGCAACATGGATGAACCCTGAATAAAACACTACGCTAAGTGAAGCAAGCCAGACACAAAAGGATAAATATACGATTCCACTTAGATGAGGTATTATGCACAGTTCAATTCATAGACATGTAGAATAGTGGTTACCAGGGGTTGGTTAGGTAGAGAAAGGAATGGAAAATTACTGTTCAGTGGGCAAAAAATTTCACTTTGGGATGATAGAAAAAGTTCTGGAAATGGATAGTGGCGATGGTTACAGAACAATGTGAAGGTACTTAGTGCCACTGAATTACACATTTAAAAATGGTTAGAATGGCAAAATTTTAATGTTATGTTTTACCACAATAAAGAGAAAATTAATTACAAAAAACCCCACCAAAACACATGGCTGAATCATTTACAGAAACTCGTTTAACAGACATACAGTCAGTTCAATTCCTTTGGCACATCTGTCTTTCCCCTGAAGGAATGAATTTCCTCAATAGCTTTGGTGTTGTACCTTTAGCATTCATTAAAAGACTAAAAAATTTCATTTGAAAACTTTCTTTCAGGGCTAAATGATGGGAAAAGTTTTGTTTTCTCCAGCAAAGTAGTGTGTTTCCTTTATGGTATTATTATGAATCAAATGTCTGAGCTCTTCTTACTTTAACTCCTAGGAATAAAATCTGTGGCTGAATTCCACTTTAAGCCCATGTCTTGTACCTAGTATATCACGGTATCCTCTCTGGCCTTGACTTTATTTTTGAATTCTGCCATATATTTGTCAATTTAATTGTATGTATTCTCATTAGTCAGACTAAACCTTTGAGTAATAAGGTGAAGCAAAATCAATGCAATGTTATGACCTTTACAGCTTACCTGCATGTTCATGTAGCCATCTACAGATACCAGGTAGCCCTTGTACTCCATTCCCCACTTAAGTTTCACCATAACTGGCTTTCCTGTTAGTCCATTGAGGAAAGGTTTGGGATTGAGGGGTAAACTCTGCACAAAGAACAAAAAAGGATCCAATTAATTCTTTTTCCTCCCACCACCAAATCCCTTCTGCCAAATCACCAATATTTTCTGGTGTGCAAATGAAGAAAACATAATTTTCACTTTTATTTGTTGAAGATGAGTACCAGGGAAATTTAAATATCCCGTTAGCCAGTTTCACCTTTAACCCATCAAAACAAAATACTATTCACTTAAGATACACTGACTACCTACATCACTCACTGTTCTAAGCTTGAAAGAAACAAAGATAAAGGCACTAAAAAAAAAAAAAAAAAAAAAAAATTCAGGCCAGGCACGTGTCTATCATTCCAGCACTCTGGAAGGCCAAGGCAGGGAAATCACCTGAAGCCAGGAGTTCAACACCAGCCCAGGCAACATAGGGAGACCCCCCCCCCCACCATCCCTACCGAAAATAGTCAGGTGCGATATGCACACTCGTAGTCCCAGCTACTAGGGAGAATAAGGTGGGGGACTGCTTGAACCCAGGAGTTCAAGGCTGCAGTGAGCTATGATCAAGCCACTGCACTCCAGCCTGGGCAAGAGCAACACTGTCTCTTAAAAATAAATAAACAAATAACAGTCCCTGTCAAGAAGCTGGAGATGGGGAGGGGAGCGCCTCATGTACAAATAATTACATTGCATACTGCAATGCAGTAAGAGGAGATATGCTAGGCACAAGGGTACCAAAGCAATCCACGCAAAAAAGGAAAGGTTGCCTTAAGTAATATCTCAGTTTTAAAGGATAAGAGTTTATTCCCAGAGCTGGGGGGAGGGGGGGAATGCTGTTCCAGGCAAGGGTAGCAACTTACAAAGAGAACAAGATGATTTGGGGGACATACAAAGAATTCAGCATTGTCAGTCAAAGCCCCTAATACAAGACTGCAGAAGGAAGCAGAGGGCAGATCACGCTTGACAGTCTTTAACTGTGGAAGGTAGGGCTAGGTCCTATCTGACCTTTACAGCAATCGCCTAATGTTTGTTTATTCAACAAACCATTAGCATCTCCAGTGAATTCAGACATTTTTAGGCCCTCATCTGCTCACTCACCAAAGAAAGAACAGAACTCAGAAACTTGGCTACTAAACTAAGATAAGCATATTGGGAGTGATCTTGGCATGGTGTTACTCCAATAACCTAATGGGTCTCCAGTTTACATTCTCCAATTTATTATCCACCACGGCAACTATTAGTTTTCAAAGTGCACATCAAATTATGTCATATGTCTGTTTAAAATGATGCAATAGCTTCTAATTGAATTAGAAGCCACTATTCTTGCAAGTGGCTGTACCTTTCTGTCAATTTCTCCAATTGACCAAGCTTTCTTTCCGGCTGCAGGTCTTACGCTCCTATTCCCTGTGCTCGGTACACTCCTCCTGCTCTTTAAAGGGTGGTATTTCAGGACATTTAGGTCTCTGGTTAAATTCCACCTCCTAGGGAGGCCATCTCTGACTAAGCCTCTAAATGTCTAACGTGCACCCTCACAGCCTCCGGTCTACAAGCTTCTTAGCACTTGTTATTTGCAACTGCATATTTGTTGTTTTTTGACTAACGTCTGTCTTCCCCACCCGACTGAGTTAATCTAGAGCATGGCTGTATAGCTACTTTCACGGAATTAAAGCGAATTTTGGAGAGTGGTTAGTGAGAAGTGCAAACTCAGTTTTACGCCGACCCTGAAGCCCCAACCAAAAATAACCCAGGCTAGGATTCAAACAAAGAGGAGGCAGCACGGGCACTCCTAGGAAAAGAAAGGCAACGGGAGGAGCACGCGCCTCAGAAACCCCAAGAGCAGAATGAAAGGAGCTGGCGACCGGGTGCGCGGCGCCTCACGCGGTTGAATGGGAAACGCGCGAAGCAACCATCAGGCCCCGCGAAACTGGTCTCCCGCCTCTTTCTCCCCGCTTCTCCCGCCGTTCTCTTTCTCCTTACCATCGTAACCACGGGCGAATGCTGCAAGCTACTCGCTGCCAACCAGGCCGCCGCTCGTCCCTCGTGACCACAGCAGATACCGCCAGTCCCGAACCGCTGAGCTGCAAGAGAAATGGCCGCCAAACAAGAGTATGACCTTTCACCTCCCACCACGGCCCTTCTGGCCTCTGTGATTGGACGCAAAGAGATGCGTGCTGATTGGAGGAGGTGGCTGGACAGTATCTCCTGGCAACCAGCAGTGGTGTAAGTTTGCGCCTTGCCGGAGGCGCTTGGGCCTTGGGAAACCCGCTCTGAGGGTCGCCGCGAGTCAGCCAAGGACTAGAGGCCCGCCGGTGTTTCTAAATGTGCTGCCCCTCCCCTAGGGATGGTCGGGGAGAGGCTGTGTGCCCTTTAGAGCGGACAGATGTGACTTCTCCCCAGCTTGGCTAATGGGGATTTACTTTGTCCTTTTACACCCGTGAGAATAAGTTCGGAGTCCCAGAGTTCCTTTCTCACTCTTCCAACAGGTTCCATGATTTGGGGGCGCCTCTGCCGCAGGCCCTTTCTACGAGAGGGTTTTCTTTAATGCAACATCCATTTCAACCCCTTTTAAAGGAATCGGGGGTGGGGGTAGCCAGACTAGATTAGGGACCGCGAATCGCACCGAAGGGAGTAGGGGACAGAATTTCTTTCGAACGATGCCAGGTTGCGTCTAGGATACGGTGTCTTGTCCTCCCCCGTCTCCCACCTTCCTTCCTTTTCTTTTCTTTTTTTTTTTAATAACTTTATTGAAACATGTTTTATAATGCATATTCTTAAGACTCTTCTTCCTGAAAGTAATAAAGAATTAGTTTGAGATTTCTATAAGGGATACCTTTATATCAGTTAGTTGCTAAGTTTAGGGTACCGAACAGCTTGCAATTCAGATCTATAAACAACGAAATAGTTTAGCGAAAACACATACACAGGATTTGGAGGTAGCAGAGAACAATTGTTCTAGAGCCAGACAGACCTGGTTTGAACCCTGACTCCCCGGATGTAACCTTGGGCAAGTTGACGTGACCACACTGTCATTTCTTAGCACCTTTACTGCTGCTTTCTATGTTCTTGAGGTCTTTCATTAGTGCTAGAATAATGATACATTGATACTGATGCCTGTAATTATGACAAGTGGAAACTTGCTATTTCCTTCATTAGCTAAAATTTGAAAACCATAATTGATTAAGTTTGCTCACCTTTCTTTTGCATCTCCAGCCGAGACCCGCACGGCCTTCTTAGGTGCATTTGAAATTACCTAAGGGCTTAAGCAGTATTTCCGCTACCACAGATTAAAACTTTCGATGTTAATGGTGCTATCTGAATTTCACTAGTTTTTCCCGTAATCCTAGTGAGTTCAACTCACTCGGATCTGAAATGCTAAATGCAGTTTTTGGAGAACTCGCCCTTTGGGAAGTACGGCTTTTTTGCGGCCCTGAAGAGATGGATTTGGAATTGAGGATGAAATGTTTGGTATTGAGGCATTGTGGAGCAGTGGGTAAGACTTTGGAGAGGGGCTGCATTCGAACTTGCCTCTATCAGGCTGGTGTTGAGCAGTGTCTGAACCCCCGAGGGCCATTGTTTCCTGGGCAGGAATGCAGCTTCAAAAACGGAACCATCTCAGCTTGGTTGTAAAACAGGGCTTGGCCTTGTAAAGGCTCAGTAGGCGTTAAATATTATTGTTCACATGAATGTTGAACAGTGATTTTCCGTGTAGTTTTTACCAAACAAGTTATTAGAATGTATTCACCCTAAACTTCAGTGGATTTCTCCTTTAGTTTGCCTATTCTTTCATGAATGTTAAGTCTTTGTATAGACTTTGGGTTCCTATTATGTGTCAGGCTCTTTCAACAATTGTGGAAATCTTACCACATCGTCTGATTCGGGGTGACAGCCCCATTTTAGAGATGAGGAATCAGGCCCAGCAGGTAACTGTTACTGGTTGAGGGTAGCTGTCTGGGTTCTTGGCGTTTTGAACAAAGAATTGGACAAAACGCACAAACAAAGCAAGGCAGCGAAAGCAGAGATTTATTTTAAACAAAAGTACACTCCGGGGGGTGAGCACTGCCTAGTGCAAGCTGCTCAGGAGCATTGGTTACAGAATTTTCTGGGGTTTAAATACCCTCTAGAGATTTCCCATTGGCCCACAACCAGTCTGATTGGTTGCAGGAGGGGACCAATCAGAATGAAGAGTAGGCCCACGACCAGTCTGGCTGGTTGTGGGAGGAGACCAATAAGAGGTACTTTCGTTTTTTCAACTGCCACGCACAAAAAATGGGGGTTGAAATGGGAGTAGTGTCTGATACCCAGTCAGCATGAATGGGCCTTAGGTTCCCTGCCTCCAGCCCCTATTCTTCTGCCTCCTAACTTGCTCAGGCCCACATACCTGGGTTTCAAAACTGCTTTTTCTACTTCATAAAGCTACCTTTCAAAGACTCAATATGTATTTAGAAGCCTAACTTTTATCTTGAGCTGTTTTCTTGGTGAAGTGAAGCAAAATACTACAATAAACACACTATGTAAAGATAGTGTATTTAAGGTTGGTTTTTCTCTTCATGTTAATTTTTTTTTTTTTTTTTGAGACAGGGTCCCACTTGTCACCCAGGCTGGAGTGCAGAGGTGTGATCTTAGCTCATTGCAGCCTTGACCTCTTGGGCTCAAGAGATCCTCCCACCTCAGCCTCCCAAATAGCTGGGACCACAAGCATGTGCCACCACGAGCAGCTAATTAAAAAAAATTTTTTTTGTAGAGGTGGGTCTCGCTATGTTGTCCAGGCTGGTCTCAAACTCCTGGGCTCCAGCTGTGCACCCACCTTGGTCTCCCAAAGTGCTGGGATTACAGGTGTGAACCACCATACTTGGCCTATATTAAATTTTAATCTTAAATACCTTATTAAAATTAAGTGGGCATAGTCATTGATATTTTTCTAATTATAAATATACGAAATTTTAGAAAATATAGAAAGTTCTAAACAATAAACCTAAAATCACTAGTAATCACACCAATCAAAGAAAACAACTGTTTACTTTTATTGTTACGTATGCACTTTTGTTTTTTTACAAGAGACCTATATATAGTTTTTGTTTGTTTGTTTGCTTTTTTTGAAGACAGAGTCTCTCTCTGTCACCCAGGCTGAAGTTAAGTGGTGCGATCTCAGCTCACTGCAACCTCCGCCTCCCAGATTCAAGCAATTCTCATGTCTCACCCTCCCTAGTAGCTGGGACTGTAGGCATGCATCATCACGTCCAGCTAATTTTTTGCTATATATTTTTAAGTAGGCATGGGTCTTGCCACTTTGCCCAGGCTGACCTTGAACTCCTGAGCTCAGGCAATCTGCCCACCTCAGCCTACCAAAGTGCTACGATTACAGGCATGAGCCACTGCACCCAACCTACATACAGCTTTGTAACCTGCTTTCTTCACTTTATATTGAGCGAATTCTCACATAATTAAATATATTACTAAAATGTGGCTTCATGTCATCATTACACTTTGTATTTTGCATCTGTGATAATGTATTCTTTTATTATTTCCATTTTCCCTCCTGTTATAAACAGTGTGCACTGAACATACTTGTACATGAATCTTCGAGTGTGTTTTTTATTCTTAACCATAAATTCTTAGAAATACAATTCTTAGGTTAAAAAGCATTACTATTAGAATTTACTATTACTATTTAGAAAGCAAATATATATATATATTGCCACATTGGCATATGGCTCCACAGAATATCCATCAGAATAATTGGTTCAAATATGGGAGAAATAACAGGATTTATATTTTTTGAAGATGAGATAGAATACATTTTGAGGACATAACAAAATTAGTTCTACCATTACTTCTCCTATAGCTCAAAAATTCCAGTGGTATACAACCATCTAAAAAGGAATTTGTCAAATGATTTAAAAATATTTACAGAGGTGAGTAAAATGAATGTGTGATGTCTGCCCTTGTGGAACTTTAAAACCTCTTGGAGAATAAGGGGACCAATATGCCTTGAATGCCTTTCATGTTATGCTAGGATATTTTATTATGCAATTTGTCTAAATCTTCAAAGTACTTCAAGGTAGGTATTATTATCATCCCCATTTTAGAGATGAGGAGACAGTTTCAGAGAGATTGTATATTTTTGTTGAAAGCCATGTGGAAGGTAACATGGCTCCAAAGCCTAAGGCTTTTCCTTTATACAATGCTGCCAATCCCAAAAATGTGTTTAAGTAGAGTACAAATAAACAAATATACAGAAATACAAATATTAATGCAGGATGAAGAGGACAGCATTTGGGAAGTTACTTTTGAAGTTGATCAGCTCTTCTTTTTATTTTGTTTATTCTCATAATTCCAACATCTTATTTTTTTCTGATTGTGGCCAGAATCATATATAGGTATGGTCAGAATAGGTTGTTTTTTTTGTTTGTTTGTTTTGTTTTTTGTTTTTTTTTTTTTTTTTTTTTTTTTTTTTTTGAGACGGAGTCTGCTCTTGTTGCCCAGGCTGGAGTGCAATGGCATGATCTTGGCTCACCACAACCTCCACCTCCCATGTTCAAGCGATTCTTCTGCCTCAGACTCCAGAGTAGCTGGGAGTCACCACGCCTGGCTACTTTTGTATTTTTAGTAGAGACGAGGTTTCTCCAGGTTGGTCAGGCTAGTCTTGAATTCTCGACCTCAGGTGATCCAGCTGCCTCTGCCTCCGCCTCCCAAAGTGCTGGGATTACAGGCGTGAGCCACCACGCTTGGCCGGGAATAGGTTTAAAGGAGGAAAATTCCAAGATTGGAGTGCTTTCTATCTGGTAGAAGCTTTTTATATATTTTTCGTCAAACCTGAGAGATGTGGCATTCTGTCTAGTGAAGAAGTTAAGATTCAAAAATATATGAGCTTCCTTGGATCATACCAACACTGAACCTAGATTAGCATTCAAGTCTATTTGGTGGTTCAAAGCCCATTGTACCATAGCAGAGAGACAGTCATAACTCAAAGGCGTAGGGACATAAGAACTCCCTCTCTCACCTCTTGAAGTTTGATATTTGAGTCTTGATATTTGATATTTGAGAAATTAATAAACAATAGACCAATTACAAGGAGAAAAGGCACAGCATAATTGATTTATGTGCATGGGAGCATCACAGGAAGGTGAATGCCCAATTCTAGTAGCTCTAGACCCAGTAAGGGCTAGAAGTTTATATACCCTTATTCAGAGGGGAGAGAGGAAAGTGGGATGTAGGCCATTTTAGAAGAGTAGTAAGTGACCTTTACGAGAGATGAATGGGTCCATACAACAGACAATAGTCTGGAACAAAGCTCATTTGGGCTGTAGGTGTGGTGTTCGATTTTCAATCTCTTCCTCTGTGATATGAGTTTAATTTTCCTTGGTTAATGAAATTTCAGTAGCAAAATTGAGGACAATTGTGTTCCTCTTCAGTGGACTGGATCTTTAGCTAGATAAGGGAACTTCAGAGAAGAGTCTCTTCCTGTGCTTCCAGAGAGGAAGAGGGGAAAGAGATGGGGGGTGGGAGAAGGTCGGAGAAAGGCCTTGCTTCTGAGGCTGCTGCTGTAGCACAAAGTATCAGTATGTCAAAGCACCATGCTTTGGGGTACCATTTTCTGAGCCCCAACAAAGGAAACCTGGTATTGTGATTAGGTACCAAGACTGTCTCTGTCGTGTGCAGATTATCTCTGCTTTAGTCTCCTCATCAGTAAAGAGGATGATCATTTAAAAAAAAAAAAATTAATGAGGTGGTGTCTAGCTATGTTGCCCACGCTGGTCTCAAACTCCTGGGGTCAAGCAATCCTTCTGTCTCAGTCTCCCAAGTGGCTGGGATTACAGGTGTACACCACGATGCCGGCTCAATACCCACCTTATAAGGCTGCTATTAGGATACAGCATTTGTGGTGTTTATCTGTCTGCTGATACTGAATAGTTTCTGTAGGTAGGCACACAGGCAAGTGAGTAGGTCAATGTGACCTACTAATAATAACAAATATGGGATTACTTGTTTGCTGCTTGCTTAAACTGCTGCTTGCTTAAAAAGTTCTGGGCCATTGGCTCTGATTCTTCAGGTGTGCTGAAATCTACTGTGCTCCTGACTCTATCTAACTGAGCCTGTCACTTCACCTCATGGGACCTGGGGGGCAGGAAGGCTGACGCAGCTATGAGGATGCTTCTGCTGTTTGCTGTGTGTAATAAACTGTCTTGTTCTGATCCATTGAGTCTCATTGTCTCCTTTTGGCACCTGTGGAGAGATAGCAGGTTTACTCCTTGCTGCCTAAAATTGGGGTTCTCTCCTGACTCTCACAGGGTTCACATTAAATGAAGAACATTAGATGAGACGATATATGCAAAGCAGTACACTATCTGCTCAATAGTCGATGCTCAATAAATGTTTCTTCTCCTACATTTATAATCAATCAAAATCTAACTATCCCCAAAAGCTTTGGTTTGAGGAATGTAAAACCAGTGTAAAAGTTGCACTTTATTTACTTATGGGGAGATCAATCCCTTTATGGACCAGAAAATTACTTCACCTAATAACTCAAGATATAAGAGATTAGTCTTGACCTGAGACCACATTAATTAGTGT